GAAAGGAACAAAGCACTGACACCCACTACACCTGGAAGCTTGACCCCAAATGGAAGAGGCCAGACACAAAAGCCAAGAGTGTGAGCCGCATGTTGGAACTTCTCGAAAGGACAGTGGGTCAGCAGTGATGACTGAGGAAGGGCAGCGAAAGGGTGCTGGAGAAACCTCAGTGTTGACAGAGCCACCTTTTGGGGTGGAATGTTCTGGAACCAGGTAAATAACGGCAATCCAACATTAGGGTGCACCATCACCACCAAATTGCTTGCTCTGTAATGATTCTGTTACATGAATTTCCTCTCAATAAATACACATGTGAACTGGCAAAGATTGTTTAAATTTTTACAAAATTTTATTTAGTGTATGTGTGTATAGGTCCACGAGTGACACCGCAGCATGTGTGGAGGAAGACAGCTTTCAAGAACTGGTTCTCTCCTTCTGAAACCTGTGGGTCCCAGGGATGAAAAATTGAGGTTGTCAGGCTTGGTGGCAAGCACCTTTTCCTGCTGAGCCATCTTGCTGGCTCTGATATTTCTTTTTATTTTAGTTATTATTTTTATTTTATGTGTATGTGTGTATTGCTTGTGTGTAGGTAAGTGCACTCATGTCGTGCAGTGCCCTCAGAGGACAGAAGAGGCTATTGGATCTCTTGGAACTGGAGTTAGGGACAGTTGTTAGCTGCTGGGATCTGAACCTGGGTCTTTTGTAAGAACAACCAGTGTTCTTAACCGCTGAGCCATCTCTCCAGCCCCTCTGATACTTTTTAAGAATTATTTGTGTGTGTGTGTGTGTGTGTGTGTGTGTGTGCGCGCGTGCGCGCGCGCACAGGTGCCCTTGGAGACCAAAAGAGGGCATTTAGAGCCCCTGGGGCTGGGGTTACAGGTGGTTGTGAGCAGCCTGATGTGGGAACTAAATTCATTCTCTGGAAGAGCAGCAAGCACTCTTAACCACTGAGCCTCTCTCCAGTCCATTCTTTGTTTTTTTTTTTTTCGGTCTTTTTGAAGCAGGGTCTCCCTGTAGCCCCAGCTGTCCTGGAACTCTCTATGTAGACCAGGCTGGCCTCGAACTCACAGCGATCCGCCTGCCTCTGCCTCCTGAGTGCTGGGATTAAAGGTATGCACCACCACTCCTGGCTTCACAGTATTTCTTTATTAAGCTCTTACAGTGGGCTCGGCACCCTGCAGGCCTGTTGCTCACTGACTCAGAGTTGGCTCTGTAAGATGTAAGATGAGAGGTGAGGAAATACCTTACTGTCTGATGTCAGGCAGTGTGCCCAGGGTCACACAGCTGGAAAGTGGTAGTGGTAGAATTTGAACCTGGGCCCCAGACTCCATCCTAAGATGTAAGAGTTGTGTGCTGCCCTCCCTACTGGCTGGGGATGGGCCCTCAGGCACCCCCAGAATGCTGCCCTGGATGGTGGGCAACCTTGCTTGCTCACCTGCTTGCTTGTGATCTGGAGTTTCTGGGGCCTGGCCACAGTTCAGCCTGTGTGCATGCAGCTTCTGGAGCTCAGTCTGTTCATGGAACCCTCTACCCCATAGTAGAATCTTCCAACCTAGCTGGGCCATGAATCAGTACTGTTCACTGCTGGAAGTGTGGTCTCTCTCTGATGCAAAATCCCTGCCTCTGCTTCCAGGCACCTGATGAGCTAGGCTGAAAGGGACATTAGGAATAGTGTCTGAGGCTGCCCTTGGTCTTCTTGGGTCTCAGTTTCCCCATTTGTGTGATGGGTGGGAGAGGGAGGTGGGGATTGGCACTCTGTGCAGGACTGCAAAGCTGGAGTATGGAATGGAAGGTGGAGGGTTACAGGCCTGGAGGAGTCGGGGGGCTCTTCTCAAGTCACTCCATCTTTGGAGGAGCTGAGGGGGCTGCATTGTGTTGGGGAGGTGGGTTGGGGGAGTTAGGTGGCAACTGCCTTGTGTCGGGCATTTCTGTTTTTGTGATCATCCTGCCCTATTCCTTGCTTCAGTGAAGCCATACGCTCCCCTGGATCCTGATGCAGACTGGAGGCCTGGGGTTGCCTGTGAACTCTGTGGCGGGAGGCAGCCAAGACAGAGTACTGGGTGGAAACTTTTCTTTGATGTTGTCTGAGGTGTTGCCCCATTTTGCAGCCTGGATACATGGAGGTGCCCCAGGTTAGCATTGCGCATCACTTCGGGGCTGAGCCAAGCTGGCCTGACCCTTGTCTTTCTCGCTACTCTGAGAGGTCAGGCCATGAGCACAGGGTTCAGGGTGGATCACAGTGCTGTTGGGCTCCAAGTCTGGGCCTAAGGTGTTGTTTGTGGCAGGATGAGGAACCTTCCTCCTGGCCCGGCTCTGGCTGCTGTGCTGTGGGGAAATGTGGCGGACATCATCAGTCTGCACAGGGGATGTCTTGAATGTGGGGATGGATGTCTGCCTCCCCCATAAGTCCTTCAGTGGCAGCTGTCTCTCCTGTTGTGGTACTCTGTCCCCTGAGCCTGGAGTGACATATCTCTTTAATCCACCTCTTGACCCAAGCAATTAATTGTTTCTGACAATCGATGCTGTGGCCTTTCCCTTCCTGCAGCCCCTGGCCCAGCATGTGCAGCCTCTAGTAACCTGTTTCTGCTCTTATGCTGGGGCTGGGCCTATCTGTAGGGGCCTCCTTCCCAGGGGCCCCTGGGCGGAGCCTCCTAAGGCAAGCTTGGTAGGATGACTGCCCTGCCTGACCCCAGGCTTATTAACCTGGTGACCCCATATGGGGCCTGTGAGGCAGCCCTGCCCTTTCCACTCTGCAGATGGGCCCTGAGGGCAGGTCCCTCATCTCTGCCTGGTTGGCTTCCACAGGGACAGCAGAGGAGGTGAAGTCCTTTGTGTGGGGCCTTGGCCAGTTTTCCTCCTTTCCAGCTTCCTCTGGAAAATGGTGATGCATCCTGGGGACAGAGTAGCTCAGTGGTAGGGTGCTTGCTTAACCTGCAGGGAGTGGGGGTAGGTTCTTCCCCCAGCTCTACAAAACACAAAACTAAACAAACAAACTCAGTGTAGTCCTTGGTGGGTAAGAAGGTTTGTATCGCTTGGGGTTGTGTGGGTGATGACTGATGGACAGGTGGGTAGCAGATGGTGTCTTGGGTTGTCTGGGCCTCCGTGGGCTCCCGGCCTGGTTTTCCCTGGCCTGGCCTGTCTTGGCTGTGAGCCAGGCCGCCACCGACCGCAGAGAGGCCCCTTCCCTGGGGAAGGTGGTCGATTTGGCTCTTTCCTGGCCTCGGCCTCTAATTGCTCCCTCTGGCTCTGCCGTCTGCAGATGGCCTCCCACCCTGGGTGAGGAGCTGGCCGGCTGGGTGTGGGGTGGAGGGTGGGTGGCAGAGCAGAGGTTCAGGCTGTGGTCCAGTTCCCCAATTTTCTGTAACCCTGGCATTGGGGAACCTCCAGTGACTGAGTTTTCTCTTCTGTGAGATGGGGTCAGGTTGCTACCCTCCTTGAAGAGTTGAAGAGACTGGTAGGGCTATTAGGAAGAGCTGTATTGTGAACTCCCCTTGTCATTGTACCAGATGGAGGAGGTCTGGTGTCAGGGAACCCAGGGGGCTAAGAGTGCTTGTAACAGTGGGCAGGTTTGCTCTTCTCTGACCTTATGACTCCTTTGGGTGTGTCCTATGTCTCTCCACTTGGGCACCCAGGCCCAGTCTCCTCATCTCACACTGCTTGCATTTGGCCTTGTTTTTGCAGCCCCTGCCCTGCTTGTGGGAGGGCTTTTGGGGGAGAGGCTGCCTCCTGCCGTGACTGTGGCAGCCGCACTGCCTGGGCTGAGACCTTGGTGGCCTCCCTGTGATTGCCTTGTTGCAGCTTCAAGGAGAACTGCTGAGGGCGGGCGTCTCAGCTGCCACTTGAGAAGGAAAATAAAATATCCCGTGGCTTCTAAATGGAAGGGCGGTAGAGCTGCCTCCACAGCTCAGCTGTCTCTGCTGCTGGCTCCCACAATGACAGGGATGCAACTTTGACACAGGTCCTGGGGGATAGTGGAGAGGTTTCTTGTTTGCATGGTATGGAAAGATGTGTCCAGCGAGGCCAGCCTGGGAGGATGTGGGGACACCCCTCCTCTCCCCAGGTCCCACAGAGCCTTGGGGAGAGCTCTGGCTGCCTCAGTTTTGGGCAGCTGTGCTGTGCTGGGACTTAAGTCCTCCAACTGTAGCCTATGGGATTGGGGTGGGGGGCAGATCTGTGTTGTCCTCGTAAGCTTGCTGGCTGTGGGGGAAGTTGGCCCTCCTTAGGGTCCCACAGTTGGGTCTCTTGGCTATAGAACTTGTAGTGGGTCACTGGGGAAGATAGGATGAGGGGTGTCTCTTCTCTAGGGACCTGGTAGAGGCCTGGGCAGAAGCTGAGCATCCTGGTGGGAACCAGGTGCCCAGTGTGTTGCTCCAGAGGCCTGGGATTGGAGTGTGGGCTGTGGAGTCCAAGCCTTGCCCGACTGGGCTTCTGGGTGTCTGCCTGTCCACCTTTGTCCTCTCATACCTGGCAGCAGAGGCTCATCTGTCCCACAGAGGGCATGACTGTTGGCCAGGCAAAGGGTGGATAGTAATGGTGATTTGTGCTGAGTGCCACCCGCATTCACCAGGGGAAGGCAATTTCTGTCATCTGTCCAGGGGCACAGGACCTGGGAGGCCTGGGCCTGGCCTGGCATGGCTGGGACCTCAGGAGCACAGAGCCCAGCCTTGTTCCTGTATTATTGCAGCAGGCTGAGGACTCAGACCCAGACAGGCAGCCATGCTTCCTGTGGGAGCGTGTGAAACTGGGCTGGGGCAGGGCAGTGCCTCAAGTTCAGGAACTGCCCTGGTGGTGGGGGGAGTCCAGGTTGGTCCTGCACCTCCCGCCTATACCTCCAAATGTTCTTCCCCCTCCTGTGGCCATGCCCTGGGAATCCTTCTCACTCCAGTGCTAGCTGGCACTGAACCCTGCAGCAGTGGCCTGCCCCTGCACTGGCAGCTGGTCCTTGACCTTAAGTGCCTGACTGCAGCCTCACTCTGTCTCTCTCCTACCCATTGCAGGCTCAAGACGAAAGCTGCTTTTACTGGTGCCCCTGTGGGGTGTGTGGGCGTGAGCAGTTGTGGCCTTGTCCAACTAGGATTCGCCCTCTTGTGTTCATAGCCACATCTCTGCCAGGCCTGAAGGAGGGGCTGCGACCTTGTCAGCGTGCAGAACAGCTGTCTCTGGGTTTGAGTTCTGATGACCCTGTCCTCTGGTGGCTTGTGGTTTCATCTCTGAGATGGGCAGGACAGTCAGGTAACTTCTTGGAGGAAGAGTTAGTCTTAAGAGGGCAAGGATGGGGTGTGGGGCAGGCTGGCCTTTCTCTGGGTCCCTCTCTATTTAAGGCCTGGGGAAGCGTTTGCCAGCTGCCTTGCTGGAAACTGACTTCTGAACTCCATCAGTGGGGAGTAGCCCCTGGGACTTCCTTCAGCTGTTGGGGCTGGATCTTAGCAGAGAGGGAGGGCTCCTACCCCTAGAGTGTCTTTTCTGAGTGAGGGCCAGTGGGAGCCTGTGGGAGAGGGACTTGTCTGATGTGCGGGAATGAATGTGCAAAGACAGTTTGCCAAGTGTGCACAAAGAGCGGGCCAGGATGGAGAGGAGTAAGGTGTGCATATGGCATGCCTGTGAGTAGAGTGCACGTGGATGGACATGTGGGTATGACACTGTGTTCACTGGAGGGAAGGAGAGTGAGCAAGGGACTTGTGGAGGCCTTGCTGAGTGTATGTGAGCAGTAAGTGGGACTCAGGGAATGAGTTGAGTCTGGGACCCCTGCTGGGGCCAGGTACCCTGGAGTGTCTTGGCTACATGTAGGTATGTGTACATGTACACAAGTGTGCATCTGTTTTAGTTTCCTTTCTGTTGCTGTGATAAAACAGTGACCGAAAACAACTTGGGTAGGGAAGGGTTTATTTGGCTTAAATTCCAGGTTACAGTTCATCACTGAGGGAAGTCAGGGCTCAAACAGGAACCGAAGCAGAAACGATGGAGGAGCGCTGCTTACTGGCTTGCACTCTGACTTGTGTACTAGCTCCTGCTCAGCTAGCTTCTTATACAGCCTAGACCCACCTGCTTAGGAATAGTGCCACCGGTAGTGTGCTGGGCCTTCAAACATCAATCATTAATCAAGACAATCTCTCAGACATGACCACAGTCCAGTCTGATTGAGGAAGTTCTTCAATTGAGGTTTCCTCTTCCCAGGTGTCTCTAGGTTGTGTCAAGTAGACGATGAAAACTAACTAGGATGCCAGCTGTACGCACAAGCTCACCCATCCATCCTGGTGCTCCAGCATCCACTCTGGTGCCCCAGTATCCACCCTAGTGTCCCAGTGGCCCTAGACCCAGGCTCTGAAGAGCCTCAGGCTGTTGTAGCTGGGGAGGGTGCTCCAGGCTCCAGCCTCAGCCTCTTCCTGGGAAGCTGGAACAGCCATCTTAGATAGCTGTCAGAACTGAGGTGTCAGGTGTGAAGCTGGGGACACAGTGCAGGATGTGGACGTCACCCCTTTCCTCCCAAATCCGAGCTGTCCATGTCCCCCTGGAGGCTGAACTGCACCTCTGCGGGTCACATTCGGCTAGCATTTGGGACTCCACTCTGTGGAGTTCCCCGTCCTTGTTGCCTGCCCTGGCTGTCCACCCTGCTGTGTGGCTTCCTTGGGACTACCAGTCACCTCCTGGGGAGTCTCTTGGTCTCCACTCTGCTCTCCCAAAGAGTTTGGGGTTTGTCCCTCCTCAGCCAAGATCTGTCTGAAGCCTCCCTGCTCCAGCTGAAATCATGCTTGGAGGACCATGTGTGGGCAGCCATGTCTGCTCTCCACTGCCCTGCTTGAGGCCCTCTGCCTCCTCTCTACATTCTGGCCAGTGTGGCAGTTGCCACTCTAAACAGTCCTGCTGAGCTCCCTAAATTGGGAACAATCACCTTGGACCCAAATGCTATTCCTTGCTGCTGGACAACTGGCCCGTGCTGACCCTGCACGCACCAGATACCCCAGGCATTGTGTTGAAGGGGATCACAGGCTACAAGGACAGGGAGCAGATGACCCCATTTCCCAGCTGTCCCTCCATGGTGGGGGCCAGTCCTCCTACTGCTGGGGAGGGAGAGTGCCTGCCTGCAAGGCTTGGGCCATTACGGACAGGCTGCAGGTGGCTGGCCGCCTCGAGGCTTCTGGGAGCCATGCCCGGCCTCCCATTCCAGCCTCCCTGCAGGGCCTGTCTCTGGAGTTGCCGCAGATGGCAGGACCCGGTGCCAAGCCCCGGGGCATCATAGCAAACAAAAGCTTAAAGAGGATACAGGGCAGAAAGAAGAGATTGGATGGTCCCCTGCGAGTTGCCTGCAGCTGCCCCTTCAAGCCTGGGGTCTAAGGGGCCCCCAGGGCAGGCAGTGTAGGAGGACAGGCCCTGGAGCTGGGCTGCAAGCCCTGGATGGGGTCCTGGCAATGTTAGCTGGCAGTCATGAGAGTGTGTACCTTGTACACTCTGGCTCTGCCTGTACCACATCCCAGCATGCCTGTGAAGTTGGCATTTCTATCACTGTGTTTCAGAGACAGGACACTAAGGCCTAGAGAGGTGAAGCACAGCTAGGAGCCTGGGGTACTTGCCTCAGAGCCTGAGCATGTTGTATCCCCCCTCCCCCCCCACCCTCCCATCCTTGGATGTCTGGCATGGGGTAAGACAAGGGTTCCTAAACTCTACTTGAGGCTGAGATGTTGACACATGAGTGGGTCTTGGAGATGATTCTGGGGAGCAGCTTGTTTCTGACGGTGGAATGAAGTAAGCGTCAGTCCCTGCCTAGAGTCACAGCAGGTATTTGGCCTTTGTGGTGCTCTGCCCACCATACTTTGTTCCTACTCATCCTTTGTCACACAGTTGTCCACATAGTAGGGAAATGAATGTAAAATGGGAGGCTGAGGCAGGGGGCTTATGAGCTCCAGGTCAGCCTGTGCTGCATAGCAAGACCCTGTCTCAAAAGCTAAAAACCAAGGGGCTAGAGACATAACTCAGCAGTTAAGAGCACTGGCTGTTCTTGCAGAAGACTGGGGTTTGAATCCCAGTACTCACATGACTGCTAACAATTGTCTATAACTCCAGTTCCAGGGGATCTGATGCCCTCTTTAGTCTTCATGGGCACTGCACAACATAGGTGCACTTATATGCATGCAGGCATAACACTCATACACATTAAAAAATAAAAAAACAACAACAACAACAAAAAAAAACTGGGCCTGAGCTTGTTGGGTGAAGCTGTCCCTGTGGACCTCTCTGCTTGGGAGAGGTATCTTGCTTTTCCCAGAGTCAAGTGAAAAGAGTGGTAAGATAGGTAGCCCAAGTGGGGCATCTCTGCCTAGTGAGTGGTGCAGGGGACTTCTCTGTATGGAGTGTGTGTCCATGGGCTCTTTGTACAAGTGTGGGTAGCAGGCCATGGGTTAGTGTTTGCTGATCTGGGTACCTGCTGATGGATGGTGGTCACCCACTGTGGAGTGTGTGACTGAATAAAGTGGCGATGTGCTCACATCCAGGTCTTTGTGTGGACATGTTTTTCTTGATCAGTACCCAGGACAGACTTGCTGGGTTACATGGCAGAAACATATTTGGCTCTATGAATTACAGCGGTTTGGCAGCCCTGGCCTGGTGAGTTCTACCTACTCCTGGTTCTCAGCACTTGATGGTATCTAATTTCAGCCATCTTGGTGGACAGTCCTGGTGGCTCTGGGTTTAATTTACACTTTCTGGGAGTCTTTTCCTGTGCCATTGGGCCACTTTTGTCCCCAAGTGTCTTATTTCTTTTCCTGTGAGGTGATGTTCTGATTGTAGCTGTGCTGTGTGTTCTGGATCCTGGCTGTGAGCTGCTTTGGACTCTATAGTGACTTGGTCACTTAGGGATCTGTTTTGTTTTGTTTTTGTTTCTGGTGGTGCTGGGGATTAAACCCAAGGTCTCATGCATTCTAGGCAGGTATTCCACCACTGAGCAACACCTCCAGACCTCTTTACTTAAAAAAAAAATTTTATTAATTATTTTTAAATTTTATGTGTATTGCCTGTATGTGTGTAAGTACACCTGCGTTGTGTGATACCCAAGGAGGTCAGTAGAGGGTGTTGGATTCCCGTGAAACTGGAGTTACTGACGGTTGTTACCTGCCATGTGGGTGCTGGGAGTCAAACCCAGATCCTCTGCAAGAGCAATCAGTGCACTAATCTCTCCAGTCCCCTTCTTTACTTTTTAACTTAAAAAAAAATTATGTGTACGAGTGTTTTGCTTGTGCTTAATGTACACCACCCATGTGCATGCAATGCCCTGAAGGTCAGGCTGTATTTGGATCCCCTGAAACTGGAGTTAACAGACAGCTGCCATGTGGGTGCTGGGAACCAAACTCAGGTCCTCTGCAGGAGCAGCTAGTGGTTTTAACTACTGAGCCAGTTCTCTGGCTCCCTTCTTTACTTTTTAATTTTGAGACAGAGTATCACTAAGTTGCCTAGGCTGACCTTGAACTTACTCTGTAGCTTCTGCCTCATTGGATGCTGCTTGGTTAGTGATTTGTGTGCATATTATAAGCACACGTCAGGGGTCAAGTCACTGGCTTGGTCTGAGGATGTTGATGGGGCAGGTTCACTGTCGCAGTGGTCTTGTGAGGCAACCCTTGTCTTGGTGTCGGCTGCTTGGAACCTCATGCTCTGGAGTTAGGAGCTCTATTTTGCCCCTTCCTGTGGGGAGCATAAGCTTGAGACTTGTGTTCTCTGAGCCTTAATCTCCCTTCTATCACGTGAGTCCAGGGACTTGGCTTACGGGGTGGGGAACACCTTGGTCCACATGGGAAGCTGTGATGCATAGTAACGAGACCACATTTTCTTCCACAGGTCTTTTGAGCTTTTGAGGACACAGCCCTCTGGCAGAAATTTCTGGTAGGTTCACGTCTGTCTCTACTTGCAGTCTGGGGTCTGGCTCACACTGCTGGGTTCTTCATGCGGGAAGCTGGTCTGGAGTACTGGGAAGTCAGAGTCTGTCTAGCAGGTGGCGGGGGCGCATTGCTGGTGCTTAGAACTTTAGGGCTGCCTAGACACAGGCCAGGGGAGCAGCTGGGGACTGTGAGGCCCCTCAGGGCGACACTCTACACTGGCCACTGTTGGGAGAGTTTGTTCTTCATCCATTGGTCAATTCTTCCCTCCCTCCCTCCTTTCTTTTTACATGCTATACAAGCTCTAAACACTTGAGCCGCTCTAGCCATCTTGTCACTTCTTCAGACAGGATCTCACTAAATTGCCCAGGCTGACCTTGAACTCCCCTGTAGTTCTGACAGGACTTAAGATCCACCTGTCCCAGCCTCCTGGGATGACAGGTCTGGTTCCTTAAGGTGTTATTTCTGAAGCACTTACTATGTGCAGGGTGTATGTTGGGTATCTGAGGTGGCATGGTAAGAAATTAAGCTAGTCCTCTCTGTCCTGATCAAGCACAGCCAGCAATCAACAAGCCCAGCATGGAGTGCTGTTGGTGATGAATGAACCCAGCTAAGAAGGGTTAGGGGTGCATGGGTGGCTGGGGTACAGTTTGAAATGGGGTCTTAAGATGGCATTTGAATGAGGAGTGAGGAGAAGGCAGGTAGGTACCTAGGTGATGGTGTCTAGTCAGAGGACACAACCTATGCAAAGGTCCTAGGGGCAGTTTGCAAAGGGCCTTCTGGCTGGCAAGACTCTAGATGCCTGTCTGGTTGGGGGTTCTTCTTTTTGTCCTGAGTCTTTGAGGCCCCCCACAGTAGTGAGGAGGGGGCTATTTTCCCAAGGGCCCTGGTCACAGTGGTGGTTTGTCTCATCTCTTCTCTTTCCTGATGGGGTCTTTAGTCCAAGCTGGCCTTGGCCTTGCTATGTAGCCTTGAACTCCTGATCCTCTCAATTCTACCTCCCAAGTGCTGGGGTTACGATGTATACTGCACCTGGTTTATGTGTGCTGAGGTTTAAACCCAGGGCTTCATGTATGCCAGGCAAGCTTGCCACCAGCTGAGCCACATCCACAACCATGGGCTGTGGTTTCATCTTGGAGGTTTGGGACAAGGTAGATGAGACTATGTGGGGAGGGGGGCTGTTCCGTGGGGTCTTTGAGGTTGGATGAAATGGCCTGGCAGCTGCTTCTCCCTCCCCCTCTCTACCTCTTGCTCCCCATTCATCCGAATCTTGCCTAATGGGGAGCTACCTTGGCCTGACTTATCTGCCTGTCATGCCAGTGGCCCACCCGAGGACGATAAAAGAGCTTTTTGTCTGCAAGCACTTAGCTTCCTCCACTGGGGCGATCCATCACGCCTGAGGAAGGAGGGAGGCAGACAGAGGGGGAGGGCAGGGAGCCAGAGACCCAGGCGGCTCCTCTGCCAAGACAAGACTGTCTGGGGAGCAGTGGGGACAGGCTGGCAATGCCCTGAGCTCCGACCCCAGAGGACAGAAGACCATGAGGCCTTTTGGGGACCCTTGTATCTTGGGGAGATCTGGCAAGGGGGAGGGGACATGAGTTTGGATGATAAGCTGGCCACCTGTACAGGTCATCTGAGTGCTTTGTGGAGTGATCTCATTTAATTCTCATCAGAAATGCCATACCACTGTCCTCGTGCTGTAGAGAGGGACTGTGACTGGAGGTAATGTGAGGTCCTCACACCCAGCACCACACTTCTTTGCACTGCTGAGGACCTTGGGGTCCTGGGGTGGCCTGACCCTGTTGTTCTGCTCTTGTGGGAAGTGGGGACTCTAGGGCTATCTAGGTCAGCAAGCTGTTGGAGCCTGAGGCCCCTAGTGGGAAACAGGGTTTGCCTAAGTATTTTTGAATGGAAAGTGTGGTGGGGACCTGGTGGTGTCAGATGGGATGTGGAGGACCAGGGCAGCCAGTCCCCCATATCCAGGAGGACAATTAGGGCAGATAGACAAGTGCCCAGGGCTGAGTGGGCACATTCTAGGGTGTGGCCAGCAGGCTTATGGTCTGGGGTTGTATGTCCCATCTTTGGCCTCAAGTCTTGGTTCTGGGTGTCTTGAGTGGGACAAGGATCACAGATCCCCTCTCTCCCTTCCTTGTGGGGCAGTATCCTCTGTCCTCCCATTCCTTCCCAGCTTGGGGTGCTGAGTCTTGGCCAGGCTCCTGCCTTCCTTTCCTCCCCTCCCCTCCTTTCCCTTCTCCTTCCCTCAGGGCCACCCTCAAATGACAGCAATTAATGGTGCCTGTGATGGCAGAGGCTGACAGCTGAGCTGTCTGCCTGCAGCTGCCCTGCTAATCGGGCCCAGGGGACACCCCTTCTTGTTTGGCGCAGGCCTTCCCCGTCACTCATAGGGTCACAGGGCCCAGCCCCACAGGCTTGTGAGAGCCAGTGGATTCCCCCAGCAGGCAGCTTCTTACTCTGGACACCGTGGCATTCTTTTCTAATATAATCATCCCTTTCTTCTGTAATCTGGGCAGCTCTTGCCTGATGCTGCCTTGTTTCAGGGAGTGTGGGTGTGGCATACCAAATGCCTACCTCCCTAACAGTGATGGCCTCAAATGACTCTCAGGGTGACTGGGAAGCTCTGTCCACAGGCCCTCCATGCTCTCTGTCTCCTGAGAGGAAAGGGTTTCATGGTGCCAGAGCCTTGTCCTGCCCTGGATTGCCACCCCCAGTCAGATCTCTGACCTGAACCTGAGGAACCTAGAGGTGGCTACTGAACCTGAGTCCTGCCTATTGCCTTTGCCAGGGTTACAAAAACCTCAGCCCATCCTGCCCACACTGAGCATTGCCCATTTGTCACTTCACAGCAGCATTAATGAGGTGCCTGCTGTATGCCAGGACCTGCAGCTATTACTTTTACCTTGTTTATTTTAGGGTTAAATTAAAAAAAAAACAAAATCTTTTTTCCTTCCTTCCTTCCTTCCTTCCTTCCTTCCTTCCTTCCTTCCTTCTATTAGTGTGTGTGTGTGTGTGTGTGTGTGTGTGTGTGTGTGTGTGTGTGTGTGTGTGTGTATACATGGATGCAATGATGTGTGGGTAGAGGTCAGAGGACAACTTTGGAGAATTGGTTCTCTCCACCATGTGGATTCTGGGTACTGAACTCAGATCATCAGATATGGTGGTAAGAACGTTTACCTACTGGGCCATCTTGTCACCCCTTTAGAGTTTTTAAATATTTATTATTTTTATTTTATATGTATGTGTGTAGTGCCTGCATGTAGGTAAGTGCACCCATGTTGTGCAATGCCTGCGGAGGACAGAAGAGGCTGTCGGATCCCCTGGAACTGGAGTTATGGACAATTGTTAGCTGCCATGTGGGTGCTGGGATTCAAACCCGGGTCTTCTGCAAGAATAGTCAGTGTTCTTAACTGCTGGAGCCATATCTCCAGCCCCCCTTTAGGGTTTTTATAGCCTTGCTTTTTGTAGATAGAAAACTGAGGTGCAGGAAGGCAAAGTGCCTTCGTGTAAATGACTGAGCAAGAATGGAGCAAACCTGACATCGAGCTTAGATCAGTCAGTACTCATGTCAGGGACCAGATCTGACTGGGGAGTGGGGATGTGGCCACTGGGCCTGGGGGCAGGAATCAGCAGTGCACACACATTTGTTATGCCTGGAAAGGTGGACTGCCTGAGGGGCAGCCAGCCCAACTGAGCTGCAGATGAGGGTCTTTTTAATTTTTTGTTTTTTAGTTTTTATGAGACAGGGGTTTCCTATAGCCACAGCTGACCTGAAACTTGTTATACAGATCTGCCTGCCTCTGTTTCCCAGAGTGCCTTTGATCACTCTTTGACATTATGCATTGAGACAGGGTCTCTCAATTAAACCCAGAGCTCACCAATATGACTAGAATTACAGGTGGGCTGCCATGCCCATCCAGGGTTTACATAGGTGCTAATGAGCTGAACTCTGGGCCTCATGCTTGTGTGGCAAGCACTTTAACTGCCTAGCTATCTTTCCTGCTCCAAAAGATGAAATGTAGGGATGAGTTGTAGGAACATTTGTCTAATCACCACAGTCAAGGTAGAGTGTCTCATCACTCCTAGACACTCCTTCAGATCCCTTCCAGAAGTACGTATCTGTCATATAAGTTCTGGAACCTTCTAGAATTTCATAATAAAATGATCACAGAGTATGCACTGTTTTGTGTCTGGTTTCTTTCACTCTGCATGGCATTTTTGAGATTCCTGTTGTTCCCCATGTCACTGGGTCTTCTTTCCAAGGAAGGTCCCACCTTGTGAGGGGCAGCAGTTTGTCCATCTCTCCATCAGCTGAGAATGTGGCTGGATGTGGCTCTTATGAAGGGAGCTCCTCTGGATCATTCCTGACTGAGACTGTGAACACGTGTCCTTTTCTCCAGCACACGTATCTAGGAGTGGGCTGCTAGCTGCGTGTTAAGTGTGGATAGGAGGCTGCCCGCCTGACTGCTGAAGCAGCTGTCCCATTTCACAGTCCACCAGCAGGACGTGGGAATTCCAGTTGCTCCGCATCCTAGCCAGCACTTGCTGTTGTCGGTCTGTTCTGTTGGCCATCGCAGTGGGTTCTGTTGCATCTCGATTTCATTTCAACATTGGCTGCATTTTGGGAAAAGTTGTGGTTTTGCGTTTTGATTCTGTGTCTGGCTGCCTGGCGAAACTCCTGGATTGGGGGGATGATTGCACATCCTCTAGTGATGCTGGCTATCTTTTCTTTGTAGTCTTATGGGATTCGTTGCTTTTTCTTGTCTTACTGTGTGGGCTGTGCATTGTTGGATAGCAGTACCTGGGCCTTCAGGGTGACTGAACTGAGGTATTGTTCTGAACATCCCAATTTACAGCCAAGGACACTGAGGCACTGGGAGGTCAGGTGACTCTCAGCGTGGGAACTCTAACTTGGGCTGCAGCTCACATGCTTTCTCTGTGTCAGGAATCCCAGCTCTCCTCGATAAGTCAATGTGTTTGCTGACTGAGAAG